GAAAGGACCCTTTAATGTGGCCCTGTCCTCCACCATCCCTCATTCTCCCCTTTCCCCATACAGATGATTCTGGGCTGTGACCTTGGGCAAACACACACACATACACTCACTCGTCCATCTGCTAGCACTTAGATTGGCGTAACTCTTGTTCTCTCTCTCTCACTCTTTCCCTCTCTCTCGCTCTGTCTCCCCACTTCTCGTCTCTTCCTCCCTTTGTCGTCCCTATTGTTGTTTCCAATCCTTTGAAACTTAAAAATATCCCACCCCGATTGTGTTCTGTACATTTTGTTACCATGGCGATTGCCATGTAGAGCAAGCAAAATTAGTGTGTGTGTGTGTCTGTGTGAGTGTGTGTGTATACATGTATAATGTGTGTGAGTGTGCCAGTAGCAGTGCTATCAGCCAAGCACAGATTCTAAAGCTATTTTCTGAGGAAACAACAATAAAAGGAGAAACACCCACCATCCCCTTTCTTTGGTTTTTTTCTTTTCTTCTCATCTTTCTCATTCTCCATCTTTTTTTTTACTGGCCCTCCTCACTCCCCTTCATCCCTATCTGTCTCCACTGCCCCATTCCTTTCTCTCTCTTGCCCCTCCCTCTTTGCGCCAGCCTTCAAACACCCTCCATCGCCCTCCTGCACCCCATGGCAACAGCCAAGAGAGGGAGCGAGGAGGAGAAAGACAGAGGGAGATTGACAGGCAGTGTCTCAGAGGATCTTGTGGGAGTTGTACTGTGTGTGGTATTGATAGTGAGTGGATGGCTGGCCTCATCTGGCCGGCACATTGTAGCCCGCTGACGACAGCAGCATCACGACATCACAATGTCGGCTTACTCCTAAATACCACCAGTGGCCTGGGAAACCAACACTGGCCATACTGTGGAGCCGGTTGTTAATGAGGGGTACCCCTCTGCATGTGTGTGTGTGTTGCCATCTGACATCTAATTTTGGGCTCTGTCTGTGTGTTTTGGGATTCATATTTTATGTTTTGATATTTCTCCTTGAAATATGTGCATGTGTAACTATATGGCCTCAGTAAATGAGTACACACATTTGGTGATGGATAGATATTTCAATTTGTATGTATTCTTGTGTGTCATCAAATTAGATTCATTACTCTGCCATTATGATGTTCCCTCCTCTTTTGTGTACATGTAATTGTGCACATATGCAGTTCTCGGTTTGTTGTTTGTGTATGTTTAAATCCATGCAAGCGTTCATTCTCGCTGATCAAGGGAGCAATAGGGCTCTTTAATACAGGGGTGGTCCCCATGTGCATCTACCACCCTGGGCTGATCAAGGGCAGAACAGCAAGGGAGGAGCAGCCAAAAAGGCCTGGTGGGTCTGTTCATCTGACTGAGTCAGCTTGTAGAAAAAGTGGATCTCAGCAGCCTATTACACTTATGCAGGGATTACCCGAAACCACAGAAAGATATTGATTGATTCATTTCTTCCTGGTTTCAGTCTGTTAGGTGATAATATACAGCCTCAGGGAGTTATTTGAGACACACAACAAAGTGCTGAAAGAGATAATGAGAGAGAAGCGTCCGCCAAAATACAGGATCGGATGTTACTGCCCTATGGTGAAATGACACCTGGCTTGGGTGTTAAATGATAATTCTTTTTTATTACAGCTTGGGTCTCATTTTTGTAGTTTTTTGCCATAGTTTTACAGCAATTCTGCTCACAAAGTAATTGCTGAGATCTGAGACCATGGTGACATCAGTACAACAATCTAACTGAGCAAAGAAAAGTGTTGAGTGGTGAGACTTCTGAACAAGTCAACTGTTTAAACATGTTTATTTGGAGGAATGGAATTGGAAATTCAAACTGTGATAAATGTTTACAACAAACAGTCTCAAATAATTTGAGAATTTGAGGAAATAGTCCCCTATTAGACTGAATTTTGGCTAGCCTGGGGGTTTGATTAAAGGACCAGTGTGTCCAACTCAACACTGCTTGCATCTGTATTTGACAACCTGGGAATGAGAATGGGCTGTAAAGTCTGTTGGAGAAGCTGGTCATGAAATGAATTTGTGAAAAATGTGAAAGGCTCTATCTACAACCAATGTTTGGTCTGTCTGTTCTGGGCCACTGTAGAAACATGGCGGTTTGACATGGCAGCTTCCATGGAAGGCGACCTGTGGCATCTGTGACACTACTGAAAACATACCTGTGAGTATTATATTCCATTTCTTTCAATTGATCCTACTAAATGTTACACACTGGACCTTTAAAATGTGTTTGACTGTTTGTGTTTCTTCTCCTGTTGAAATTGTTAATATATAAAAGTTATGTCACAGATCTCAGTAATAAAGTTGGCCAAAACTGTGAAAATAAGATCCAAGTTGTAGTAAACTGGAATTATTCTTTAAATTGGTGTTAATAGATGTTTTGTCCACTTAGGGACAGCACAACTTAGCTGCTGAATGCTCCACTATGTTTACCAGCTAGTTGCTAATGTTGTCTGCCGTTTGGTGTTGGGAAGGTAGTGTGCAGTGGATTTATTGGAGCTTTTTCACTGAAAACAGCTGCCTGCTGCTGCTAGAGACAATGGCTAATAAGAACAGTAAAGAACAGTAAAGATACAAGCTTTAAAAAACCAATACAATTAGCTCAAAGATGCTACAATTCTTCATAGAGCTGAGGAGAGCCGTAGAGTCGGGATTCTTCCCTACAAACGACACCTTTGATAATAAACATAATTATTTTCCTTTATTAGTGCAGCTTTAAGAGAGGACAGGAGTGGATAAGGTGAGAAAAATAAACTGTGGTCATGCCTTTTTTGTGTATAAAGAGTAAAAAACAGGTAAACAACTATAGCGGGGAAGAGGGCGATAATGTAGCTCCGTGCTGTCAGTCCCAGCTTGCCAGTCACATTTAAGACAGTGGATGGTGTGTGTATTCCGATAAGCTTCCTCCAGGAAGTCCTGTGTTTCCTTGGTTAGTAATTACCTCTCCTGGAGACTGACCAGGGCGAGAAATAAATCTAGACGTGTGGGGACTGGATAATGGGAGATCTAGAGGGATGATGGCTTTAGCGAGAGGTAGAAGTGACACACACACACATGCATACACACACAAACATGCACTCACACGCGTGTAGAAACACTATTGCTCAATCTACCTAGTGACAAGCAGCGAAACAGGGATTTGAGACGGGAGCTTTCTCCTTAGCCAACTGATAAACTCCTGTTAGCAAACCCTGCAGCCAAATACAGTCTCCACCCTGCGTATATGTGTCCACAGCAGATAATGTATCCTCATTCTCTGCTTCTCTAATACTTGCAGCACTGTGCAGGCATTGAGCTATTGGGTCTGATCACTTCTGATACTGGCTCTCTCTCCTCCACCTACCCAATCCCTTCAAACAAACTTGTTTTAATGAAAATACATTCCGGAGTTTGGCGGATTTAGCGGATTTTCCTCCCACTCTCATCTCTCTGTCTCTCCCCAGGTTTTTTTTTTTTTTTTTTTGGGCGGGGGGGCAAAAAACTGCTGAAGCTCCAGCTGGAGCAGCAGTGGCAGCACAGCAGCCCATTTTAAGAAGTGCTGACGCCAGAGCACTGAGCATTTCTGTGTGCATTCAAGGAATGAGGAATGCATCTCCAACCGGCTTAAAGAGAGGCAGAAAGAGGGGTGGAGGCAGGGAGTGGAGAGGTAGGTAGACAAGATAGGAGAGAGAAAGGGAAAGGTAGAAATAAAAGGAGATAGAGGGTGGGAGAGCGAAAGAAATGATGAGAGAAAGGAGTCCGGAAGACTCCAAGTCATGCACTGTATTGCACCTTCACTATCATTGTAGCTCTGTTATGGTTAACAGTCGAGGACCCCCCTGTTGTCAATACCAGGATAACAGCAGACTACTGAATCCTATTTCTAGACAGTGGTATTGAGCACAGCATAAACCTGGTTTATTTGTCCTGCTTAATGTGGATTCAGAGCCCCGTGTATTACAAGCATGTAGGGGGCCAGGTCATATTTTTTATCATGAATTATGAGTTGTTCCATCAAAGCCAAGAAAAAATACTACGTGAATAGAATTTGTTTCAGAACACTCTGCAGAAAGAAAGAGTTTGTGGAAATTCACATTTGGTGGCTTATCCACATCATACAGAATATATCACAATTATTCAAAAGCTATAAGGGGTGACATATGGTGACAAAATGGTGGGGGCTGGATCAACCCACAGACATTCCCAGACCACAATAATTCACAGCAGATGATGCCTGACACACACATGTGCTCCATGAGGACAGTGGCTTTGATGGAAACCATCACGGCCACACAGCCATGATCATTATTTCCTGCACACTGATTTACTGTACATTCATCTCTGATGTATTTCTAATTACTGATATTATGGACTGTGACTGAACCCTTCCTAAATATGTCTTAAAACCATGTGAATGCACCTAGTGGGTATTTTGATTTTAACCCAGAAAAATAAAACGTCACATCACTAGCCAACTGGCAAGAAGATGCCTTCTGGACGGTTAATGCGAGGACTGACAGCAGCTACGGAAACAGCAATGCATCAGGCCAAACCACAACTCTCTTCTTCCCAGGGCTGTTACACACAGTCCCTCACCCTCTACAAACTCCATCCATCCATCCATCCATCCATCCATCCATCCATCCATCCATGCATGCACTGACACTTGCCAAATCCTCAAAACCTCATTCGCAGGGATCGACGTGTTGAAGAGTTGACCTCCTACACAGCTGTCAGTAGTGGTGGAATCCCTTTTCAAGGATTGGTGAGGTAAGCCCTACAGGCCACAGGTCTGTCAGCAACCACTGGTATGAGGATAAGACAGGGAGAGCCGTCATTGATAAGACTGCTTGCACTAGTTGAACGTAAAAGGTTCACGAAAAGGTGAATACTGTGGGATCAATACCACAAATCACTATGGAATGAAAACATGGACATCTACAGAAAACATCAGTGGCTGGAATGAAAAAGCAAGTAGAGGACACTGAACATCACTTGGTATCTCTCACTGTTCACTGCGGTCCATAGTGTCTGCTCAGAGAGTGAAGACTCCTCCAGCTGTCCCTTGTCATCCTTCAGCGTCCTTAACTCTCTGCTTCAGGCAGCTCTCGGTCCCATGGGAGCCCCTGGCAATGCCAGCTGAGCCACCTTGTCGACAGCTCTCTCCCATGGCTGCCCACCAACGCCTCGCTTTGTACCCTGGAACAGACAGGAAGAACACATCACCCCTGAAGATAAGCATGGGAACATTTCATCATGGGGAGCACAGGTGACAACGATGGTCGAAGACAGGTAGATATATTCTATTATTCACAGCCCAGCAAGGGTGTAAGATCTCCCTGGCGATCGCTACAGAGGCTGGTGTCAGAGGTGACATCAAAAAGACAAGGGCTGGGTGACAGCCGCCGACTACGGCACTGTCGAGGTAATTCCCAGGTGCCCCGGCAAGGGTCCCTCCTCTGGAGGCACTGGTGGGATCAGAAAGGTCACCTGGCAACACAGGTCAAAGCTTTGATCCAATCAGAGGAAAATCCAGCAGGGAAGGGCTTTTATGAGTGAGGGGTAGAGGGAAATGGTTGGCTGTCATTTTATATTTCAGAGGCAAAACATGGAGCCAAAGGAAGGCAGGCAGCAGTGGCAGCAGCCCCATCATTATTTAATACACAGCCTGCTTTAGATGCTTCTAGACTAAAACACAGGGTGGAAACAAAAAAGGACCCATGATAACCGTTATTATTAAACTGCATATTTTATGAGGCCCCTCCCAATTAGAAAGTCAATTGTCGGTTATGTATTCACGCAGGCAGTGAAAAGGCACTGAGAGAGTGACCCTCAAGCTTGACCTCACATGCTTTGAACTTTTTCTCTTCAGCCCCCCTCCTGTCTCTCCCTTTTCTCCCTCTCTTTCTGCCTTCACTTGGTCCCCGGGAATGAATGCTTTGATTCGGGCCGTCCAGCTGCATAAGTAAACCACATTACATTTTAGGAATGTAAATAGCAGAAAGTGCTTTTGTGAAAAATTCATTGGATGCTCCCGGCTGGACCACATAATTATTTAGAGAGCATATTTAAATACCTCTTACGATTATGGAGGAATGCACGCAATTTCCCTTTCAATGTCCCAACCGGTCATTTGGTCAGGAGATAGGAGGTCACAGAGACAGAGTGGGAAACTATAGAAATGCTGTGCGCTATGCAATGAACCGCGGCAAGGGAGGTGATCTGTTCAAGGGTTCCAAACTGCTCTTTGGACCCCAAACAAGAACCAGTGTCTATTACTGGATTATCATATACATCCACAGAGCATGCGGCGAATGCTCCAGACTGACACAGCTGCAGACAAGCTATGATATCATTGCAACTGAATACCATTCGTCAGGGTTTTAAGACACAATTTGTCAGGATTGTCAGCAGAATGCAGCGTCACCCCCCTCGCTGGCTAAACAGACACGTTAAGCTGGAAAACATACATGGGTTTGTGCATGTCAAATACAATTCCCTACAAGATAACTCTAATAAACGCATGATATGCTGAGCTGTGTATATTTTTGCAGCGATCAAGTGTATACTTCACACTGCACACCACATCTGCCATACGTAGAAACATGGCTGAGCTCAGATCGGCTGCCGTCACTCATCACTTCCTCCTCTCTACAAACTTCACACATAGACAGGGCTGACTTCCTGTCTGTCTGGAAGATTGCCTGTCTCGGGGGGAAGGGGATATGTATCTGGAATGACAGCAGTGCTGTGTGTGTGTGTGTGTGTGTGTGTGTGTGTGTGTGTGAGAGAGAGAGAGAGAGAGAGAGAGAGAGAGTACTTATGTGAATTCTGCTATCAACCAGTAAAATATACAATAATTCTACTTTGCAAAATACAATCACCTTCAAACATCAAGCTGAATCTCTTCTCATGTCCTCCTCATGTCCTCTACCATATATTCTGTTGTTATGCAGACTAACAAAGGTACATAGTCTGAATCCTCCGCCTCATGATCAAATGCAACAACACTGACAACCAAACATCTCCGCAGCCAACACACAACATCCCAAAGGTAGGCTGATATAATATGAGTGAATATGTGGATAGCTGTGATCTCTTTCTCTGTCAGACATCAGTGTCTTCTCCCAAGACAAGAGATTGGTGACAAGACACGAAAACACTCTCAAACAATAAATGGTGTTATTGAGGAGGTGATTGAGGAATAATAATTAATGATGAGCATGCAGCAGGACAAAGATGCTCTCTAAAGACTAGCCTGCTGTCCCCCAAGGGACAGAATGGGGCTTCAATTAACTGACAGGCGGATGTATTAGAATTTCTATCATGGGCCTTGGTGGGCTAGTGAGATGCAGGACTACAATGCTTTGAAAACCAGTGTGGTTTCCCCATCAAACACGTCCTCTAGGTCCTTTGATCTGCTGGGTGGTATGTGTCCTTGGAGATACGTGTCTACTTCCTCAAAGCTCTTTGTTGCCAGCCCCTCATTTTCCTGCACTGAGTTTTAGTGGTACAGCAGCACAGGCTCTGCTGCATTCACTCTCAGACAACAGAAACAGCACATCCACATCATGTGACACCAGGTGATTTTAAACATGCATGATGAATGCACCAATGTGTTTGTGTGTGTGTGTGTGTGTGTGTGGGTGTGTGGGTGTGTGTGCATACTGCAAAAGCATGCAGCCCATGAATACAGGTGATATGTTCTCAGGAATGAACATTCAGTAGCTATTTTTTGGGGGGATGTACACACAAATGCAAAATCTCATTTGAAATAAACCACATTCGAATAAAAATGCAGTTGGCAATATTTCCTGGCCATGTAGGATGTCCTTTAGCTTTGCTAATATTACAAACCTGGACTGCTTCTAGACCTCTGTATTGCTGCCCACATTTCTGTTTGTTTTGCAATTCTTAGTGGTCTGGTGTTGTGCCAACTGACAAGATTTTGGCCACTTGTAAAAACAGTTAACCAATCAGAGCTTTGTAAGACTAGACAGATGTCATCTTTCTTCGTAGCTAGCTAGCTGCTTAGCTGCATCCATGAAAAATAGCAAAAGAAAAATCAGTAGAAAAATAGCAACCATGCTGGATGACATTGAGACAGCTGTACATGAGTCACCTTACTGACCTAATAACTCTTAAATAAACATATTTCTCAGATCTTTGTGACTGACGTTAGCAGCTCCAAGCAACTGCTACTGCAGCTTTACTGTACTGCAAAAGAATGGATACGCTCACTATTGGTTAGTTAGGGCAGAACAGAACAAAGTAACAAGAACTACTACTACTAGTACTACTCAGCTTGTGAAAACATTCTATAATTTCGTCTAATAACCGTGGAGGGTCTAATGAAACACACTACTGAGTTGCATTATAGTGTAAGATCCAATGTTTTTGGAGCTTGACCCATGGGCTGTTTTACTTGACAGTTCTTTCTTGAAAAATGGGTTAATGGATCGTGTTTTGCAGCCAAATTTAAACCAAACTAAACATTAGTCCAGTGCCATTCCAGCATTGATAAGAGATGAAATTTATGTTGGTGCCAATGAAAGAGGATGAAGATAAAATTCATTTGTGATTGTTCACATTATTTTCTGCATTGTGCTTAGTTCTACACTCTACATCAAGAAACTCACAAATGCTCATATATTTGATGTAAAACCAATGTTAGACCTGCTACAATCAACTGTAAAGTATCAGGAGTGATAGCTTTTGGGGCAAAAGCCAAGCGGCCTCCTTGCCTGTGCCAGAAACCCCCCACATGATCACTGACGTCAGCAGGCATTCTCACCAGCCGGCTCTCCCTTGAACTGCTGGGTCAGTTTCCTGTTAGGCCCTGACACAATATGCATGAATGCTCCATCTCGCAGCGCTGCCTCCCTGTGAAGTGGTGTTCAGGTTACATTCCTCCCAGCTAAAGCCCTTGGCCCTCCCCAGCCACAGCAGATCTGTAAACTGTTTACACTTCACTTCCCACACCTGGAAGAGGGCCAAGGCAAACCTGGAATGAGGCCCACAAGAAGGAACCAACAGATAGGCCCTTAGATTTCAGCAGGAGAGGAGCGATTGTGTCTTGGGCTGGAGTGGAGTATTGACTCACCACCACAACCAACAACATCACCCCACTCTTTTTCTCTCTCCTAAAGGGAGAGCAGAAGAGGAAATTTGGATTGGAAACAGAACCATGTGTTCAACAGTCTGCTGGCCCACAAAACTAAGACGCAGTGTTCCACATGAATATCTCCTCACACCAAGTGTTGCCATTAACACTTTTTCTGATGCACAGTGACTAAACACAGGTTATATATGGAAGCTTCATTCATGAAGCATTTTTTATTTATTTAAATGCTTTAAAATAAAAAACGTATGGATTATATTTTTGTATAATGTTTATTTCCATCTCTCTCTGGACTCTCTTTCTGAATGGGATTAACATTTCCTTGAAATCACAATAGCAAATCCACCACTGGTCCACAGGTGCTCCAGCGTACGTCACAGATTCAGCCCCAGCGGGGATATTATAGCTAACTTGTGCTTAAGCCACACACCACTTCTGCCATGTCAGTTTTCATGCACGCCACACCTCATGTAAATGCAAGTCCAATCCCTGACATATTGTGCAAGCGTGATGTAAGTCTAAGACAGAAAGAAATCCTCTGTTCCCCTGGTGCTCGCAGTGAAGCTGAGGAAAACAGGCAACTGAAAGAATGAGGGAGGACCCGCTGTATGTGCTTTACAATAAATAATATGAATCAATGTAATAAGGGCAGAGAGTGGGACACAGATAATATGCAAAAGTGTGCCATGTGAATTACAATTATAATGTTTGATGATTATATTTACAACTGAAATTATGAGAAAAAGAGATATACAGTATATGCACTAAATCTACTGAGGGAGAGGGAAGGGAATTAGAGAGACCTACATTTTATGTTATAGTGTATAATAAAGCTCCCATGTAGAGTTGGGCTTGTTTTCTATAAAGTCATCTATAAAACATACTGTAGCCCTTTACCAGGCAGTGAGGGGAGGGGATACATCCACATGTAGTGGACTGTCTCAAAGCCATGCTACTTAATACAACAAAAATGGAAAAAAATATGTCAACCACATTAGCAGTACAAGCCTTGCCCAGCCTATTAATTGCCCCTGTGTCCAATTTTCTGTCTTCTTTGTAAGTGACAGTGGCAAAAAAA